GGGGGGGGGGGGGGGGGGGGATAGGGGAGGCTAGGCGATTCTCCGGAGTAAGGACGGAGACGCTAGCTCATGAGGAGAAATCCACTTGCTACCTTACGTGCCGTTTCAACGTGCAGCTCGTGTTCTGTCTTTATTTTTATTGTGTGGTTGTCGTTGCTGATGCTTGCTGGTGTTGGTGTGCGACAAAGGACCCTCCGCCTCAACCCCAAGTGGACCAACCCCAGCGGGGAATGGCGCGTGGGCATCAAGCGCGCCTTCGAGCTGTTCCCGAAGCTGCTGGTGACGCGGGTCAAGGCCGAGCGCCGCAAGGAATGGGACCAGAAGCACCTCGCAGCGGAAGTGAGTCGGTCCGTGTCGTGTTTGGCTGTCACTGCTGTGCGTAGGGAAGCAACCATCGTGCGAACGTTTCCATGTGATATGGAGCTTTTGCTGTCACTGCTGCACATGGGCATTCAATGCTCGTGCGAGCGTTGCTATGTGGTGCTGAGCTTTGCTTCGATGCCACTGCTGTAGATTGGCAATCAAAGATCGTGCAAGCATTTCAACAGAGGGATTTGTTGTTGCTGTTATCTGGCAAGAATGCTTGAGGTGATGTCGGCTTTACCTCTAAACATGCTCGTGCTAGGGTTGCGAACAGGAGGTGTTGTCGACTTCTTCAATATCGCAAGGTTCTCTCCGATGCAGTTGATGCTACCCCTTCCCTCTTGCTGATAGTACGCGCGTTCGGTTCGACGTCAACTGCGTGCGATCGACCTTAGAAACCGCAACATGTCCCTTCCGAACACACGCTCTTCCCACCCATGCTCCATGTGTGCAACTGCTGTTGTTTTTCTTGGACATGGCTATATGCTTGTTTGCTTGTGTCGGCCCGCGATGTGGACCCCAGGACGAAGTAGCTTCCCATCAACTATCGTTACACGTTTTATATTATTCGCCAGGCGGCTATTGCCCGCGAGATCTCGGCGTGGAAGGCGGCGCACCCCAACCCCAACCCCACGGACAAGAAGTTCCTGCTGGTGAGCGAGGGCGAATGGGAGAAAAGAAAAGTCCCTTTGTTATTGTCGATGTCGTTTTTGTTCTTCTGCTGTTGTTGCTGCTGTTGATGGGCTGGAGGGTCATGGAGGTGCTAGATAGAGAGGTCAAGAACGACGCGAACGGTGCGTGTGAAGGACTTCAAACGTTGGTCGAAGATAGAATAGTCCCCCTGACCATGGAAAACTGTACCCCATCTCTTGTTTTCCCTGCTTTCCCCCACCCTCGTCGTAGTCAGCATTTAGCGCTCCCATTGTATATTTGGCTTGTATTCGAGTTCGATTCTTTTTGTTCTGGATTGTCAGCACGACGACTTCGAGGTACAGGACGTGTGGGGTAGGTAATGACGCCAGGGGGGGGCACGTAACACCAAGGGCCACGACTGCTACTGCAAGCGCACAGCAGCAACAACTCACTATAGTATTACTAGCATTTCAGCCGGGCAGGAGCAGCTCCAATCCGTAGTCGTCACACATTCCGATTGGATCATTGCGACGCACGAGCGGAATTCAGGGTGTCCATGCGAGCGAAAACCGCTCTACCCTTCCGGCAGAGCTTGCGTGCATTTCCTGTTCTCGTGCCGCCCGTTTTTTCATTTATTTCTATTTTCCCAGGGCCTACAGGCGCGGACGGCGCACCTGGAGGATTGCAAGCTTGTATCTTCTGTTTCTGTTTTTTTTCTTGCCCATTTTTTACTTTTCTATGCATATGCATAGGACCTAGATTCGAGGGGGGCGTGCCTTGAGAGGTTACCTCTTCTTTCTTTTTTGCCACGAATTTTTTTGCACTTTTTGTTCTTGTTCTGTTCTTAATTTTGTTTTGTTGTCCCCAGGACCTGGAGGCGAGGGCGGCACACCTGGAGGAGTGCAAGGCCAACCTTGACGACCCTGGGCCGCTGCACGACTGCGTTGTGTGGAAAGGAGGAGGAGGCGTCGACGGGGGCGGGGAGGATGAGAGGTGGTGGGCGGCGGTGGACATCAAGGAGGACGGCGATCTCACTCAGGCCGTCGCCATGACGGACTTCGACAAGGTGCCGATGTATGCCGCCGCGAGACGAAGGGTTTGCTGCAGCTGCTTCTGCTTCTGCTTCTGCTTCTGCTCCTGCTGCTGCTGCTGCTGCTGCTGCTGCCATGTAGAGGGTTTTTAGTGTCAAAAGTGTCAAGTCTCAGGCACGATTGTCGTGCAAGAGTCGAAGAGGTTGTTGCTGCAGCTATTATCTTACGGTAGGTGTTGAAAGGTGTTGTGCTTGGCCAGGGCGGACGGCTTCGACGAGGTACCGTATGCCGCACGCGAGTCAGAAGAATCTTGTGCTGATTGATCTTGTTCTGAAGCGTTGTTCATCATCGTGGTGGTTTTCCTGGACGTCGTTGCTGTCGTTGTCGTTGTCGTTGTCGCTTTTCCCCCCGCAATAGCTGCCAGCAAAAGACCACACCAAGAAGCTGTTGTCTTCACGTAGTTGTATACTATTCTTCTCCCGTGTCGACCATCTGACATTCCGACGGTGTGTTCGGGATTTGTGGGAAACAACCACGGCTCCCTGCATGTACACGCGCGCGACCTTCCGTCCGCCCTTCCTTCCTTCGTTCCTTCCTTCCTTCGTCGCTTTACTTACTTGCCTTGTCTTCCTCCTGTGCAGCTGCGGCAGCACGGTCGTTTCAGCGACTTGGCCTGCCTCAACTTCGGCGTGCACGTGTACGACGATGGTGGCGTTCTGTCCATCGTCGTCGACGCCGGGGCGCACGGGACTCACGTAGCAGGTGACGCCAATGCGCCTCCCCATCGTGTCGGCGTATCTTGGTACCATTCATGGTTGGGGAAGGGAAGCGGTGGTCGACGTTTTGGGATGCATAGGCAGGTGCACTTGTTGTGGCGTGTGGCGTGTCT